GGGGGAGGGGACATTATAGTGCAAGCTCCTCTGTACAGAGACTGATGTGACTGTGGGGGGAGGGGACATTAGAGTGTAAGCTCCTCTGTACAGAGACTGATGTAGATATGTGGTTCCTATACATAACATGAAGTCTGCTCTTCTCTGACAGGAGGCGCCCGCACAACGTCTCAGCGCTCGGCTCAGAGGTCCATAGTGAGCTCCGCTAAGTCCGGCCCAGACACAAAGTCCATCCTTTCAGGTTGTCGCCGCTGTAGCTGTGGCGCGGTACAATTTAGTGTGACCGTCTGCGTGTCCAGCTTTTATAACTGTCCTTGTTCTCTCTCCAGCTCAGGCCAAGAAGAAGAAGAATGAAGCAAACCCCTTCAAGATCTCCCCAGATGCCGACTTCTTCCTCCTCCGAGACCAGGAGAGGGAGAAGCAGGAAAAGGTGAGTACGGAATACACAAACACTGATACAAATATGAAGAATGATATTCTTACTGTTGAGTAGTCAAGGGTTGAAAACCTCTTTTAGTTTGTTTGGTGTCCCCCGTTGGAGAGATTTTGCCACACTTCCTGTCCCAGGCACACAACAGGAATTGAGAGGGAATCTCTTGAACGTAAGGGGAAATCCCTTCTGAGACATAGAAGTAGGAATTCAGAAAGGGAAGGCTCTGTGACGGTGACGGATTCATGCTGAAGGTGTCCCCGTGTCCATCCTTGTACAGGAAAAGGAAATGAAACAAAATCTGAAAGTCCATCAAAAGGGCACATACAGCACAAAGATGAACGCGAAGATGGCCAGGCTGCGCAAAGAGATCGAAGCGGAGGAGATGGAAGAAGCGGCAGAGGACGAAGAGAAGGCTATGGCCGTACTGGACAATGCGTCCTGGAAGCTGGAGGTGACCAAAGGTGAGGACGGGGACACAGTGGGGAACAATGACCATCAAAAATTCTATATCAGGGCCTGTGCGACTTTTATGGGGTTTGTGGTGCTGAAGCCGTTCTCCAGCCTCCTTTCCTGGCTGGAGGATGTCCAGCATCATCTAGCGCTTTACTCCTCAACCCGACTGTCCCTAGCCCCGCCCATTTAATTCATAGGAATTTGGTTCTTTCAATCGTGGAAGCTCAGCATCACATGTGGGCGTTACTTATGCAAATACAGCCTGCCTAGGAACACCCACTCCTCCAGACTGGCACTCCATCCATCAAGTCATTTTGACATTTGCATAACTCCTCACTGCTTGCATCAGGGTTGAGGGCTCTTGATAGTACTGTGACAGGGTGCTATGTAGTGATGAGCAAAGCCTTAGCCGAACCTGAGCTCCTCCAAATGCGGAAGTGCCCTGGGGCCACCCACACCCTGGCCTCTGCTGATTGGTCAGCAGCGGAAGGAGCTTCCTTCCATGTTCGGAGGAGTTCAGGTTCAGACCGGGTTTGGAGCAGGTGTCCCCATAGGAAGATTTTCCTTCAATTCCAGCTGTAAAATTTCGGATCTCTCATCACTTTCTATCCCATTGGCAACAGTCATCAGGGTGAATCTCCCCAGCGGGGACAAAGACAGCACAAAAAAAGCTGACCAGGGTTCTACTCATTCCTAACACTGACATTAAAGAAAATATTTGGTCAGAGATACATTGTAACCCTTATTAATCTTCTTCTTCCAGACCGACAGGTCCCGAGGGAAAGTCTCCATGAATTCATTGATAAGAAGAAGGAGATGTTCCTCTTGCAGGTAACACGGTCTCCTAGTTCCTCCCCATCCCTGACCCGCACCTTTCAATGATTGGGTTTCAGTTCTTTGTCTATTGGATATTAGTTACCATAGCAACTACATTTTCAATTTCATTTTTCTAACCTGCTCTCCAAAAATGAACGCTGGCACCTGATTGGCTGGCACAGGAAATGGGGTTCACCCACTCCAGCCAACACATGGGCTAGGTGTAACTCCACCCTGGCAGCCATATGGCCTTAGCATGATCCCATGTGGACATAAATGTCAACGCGGCTGCCGCCAGCTGTTAGTTGCCGCCGAGGCTGAAACGACCACAGTGATGGAATGATAATTTGCCTTGTTGTGTATGGCAGTACTCCCTGACAGTGAAGCGGGACGAGATCCAGAAGCTGGAGGCCATGGCTGCCGCCGAGGAGTTGAAGCTCGAGAAGGCCGAGCAGTTCCTGGAGGAAGACGCTGTACGGTTCGATGAGTTCCTGAAACAAAATGACAGGAACTCGGTGGAGGCCTTAAAACAGTGAGTCCAAATATGGTATAAACCTTGCGGGGGAGAGGGGGGGTGAAGATGGGGGATTATTGCAGGCATAGAGTTGCACTTTAAATCTGAACTCCAGCCTTCCCTTCAGTCTTCTATCTGACCTCCATCCTTCCCTTCACTCTTCTATCTGACCTCCGTCCTTCCCTTCAGTCTTCTATCTGACCTCCGTCTTCCCCTTCAGTCTTATATGTGACCTCTGTCCTTCCCTTCAGTCTTCTATCTGACCTCCGTCCTTCCCTTCAGTCTTCTATCTGACCTCCGTCCTTCACTTCAGTCTTATATCTGACCTCCGTCCTTCCCTTCAGTCTTCTATCTGACCTCCATCCTTCCCTTCAGTCTTCTATCTGACCTCCGTCCTTCACTTCAGTCTTATATCTGACCTCCGTCCTCCCCTTCAGTCTTGCACAGTTGTACAACCTCCTCTCCTGGACTGAAATGGTTTCCTCTGATTTCATTGCCTTATTTCCTGGCTGGAGGACATCTGGCATTATCTAGCCCTATATTGCTTGATGACTGCCACCTTACTAGAACATGAAGAGTGCCTTGGTTCCAATAGCCAGAGGAACGCTTTGTTGCCATGGGATGACTGTAATATATATATATCTTGGGTGGGATGACCCTTGAATCCCCAAGAGGGCCTTGGGTAGCTTTAACCTATCATTGGCTTTCACTTTTCAGAGCCGACAAGGAAACCAAACTAAAGATGGAGCAAGTGGCCCAAATCAAGAGTCACACTGCCCAAATGATGAACATCAAGAGGTAAGAATTTTGTTTTTTCACCATGATGGTCTTGGGGTTAGAGGTGGCCCACATACCCCTCCCAACTGACCAATCCATAGCTAGGGCAGAAAAGGTGCCTGTGGGGGTGGCTTACTGAAACATAATCAAATCTGTAGCCCACTTACTGGTTGTCTCTTGTGTCCCTATAGAAGGATCTTATCTGTCCTTTGTTCCTCCTCTTCCTCCAGTGACATTTCAAAGTGTGAGGAGACCCTAAGAGAGTATCTGATGTACAAAGAATTCCTCTTCCGCCTGTCTCCCAAAGAGTGGAAGGAGGAGGTGTTGAAGAAGAAGGCAGGGAAGATGAAATCTCCCCCTCTCACCTTCAAGGAAAAGGAGAAACAGGTCCCGGAGACCAAAGTATCCCCTTCCCCAATCCCGGGGAAGAGTAAGTACATCAGAATGGGCCAATGGGCTTATCAGGAGTGAACTCATACCAATCATGTCCACCAAAAAATATCCTGATAGGAGCAAGGAACACTCAAACCAAATTTGGCACTGGTAATGAAGGGGACACAGGTAATGGAGATAGGCATAGGTAGGTAAAGGGGGCACAGGTAATGGAGGAGGGGTACAGGTAAAGGAGAGAGGCATAGGTAGGGGAAGGGGTGCAGGTAGTAGAGATTGGGTACAGATAAAGGAGGGAAACACAAGTAGGGGAAAGGGATAGAGGTAGGGGAAGGGAACACGGTTAGTGGGCAGGGGGTGGGTACAGGTAGGGGAAAGGAATACAGGTAGTAGAGGGTGACACAGATAATGGAGGGAGGCACATGTGGGGTAAGAGGGCACCAGTAGCAGAGTGGGTCACTGATCTTGGAAGGAGCCACAGGTAGGGGAAGGGGGCACAGTAGTAGAGGGTGGCACAGGTAATGAAGGAAGACATAGGTATTGAAGTTGGGCACAGGTAGTGGAAGGGTGCTATGTGTGGGGGTTGAGTGGCAGGTAGGGGAGAGGAGGCAAGGGTATTGCAGGGAGGCACAGGTATGGAAGAGGGCAGAGGTAGTGGGGGGGGGGGGCACAAGTGATGGAGGGAGGCACAGGCAGGGGAAAGGGCATAGGTAGCAGAGGTGGGGCACACATAAAGGAGGCAGGCACAGGTAGAGGAAAAGGCTCAGGTAGTGGAGAGAGGCAGAGATATTGGACGGGGACACGGGACACAGGTAGTGAAGGGGGGGTACAGGTAAAGGAAGGAGGGGA